TTGTCACTTTGGTTTTATGTATCTAATTCTGAAATTCATTAAGTAACCTTATTCCAATTTTATTTGGGTTGTTGGATGATAAGTTCATCGAGGATATGGTTACCATTTGAAACCTTCAATTTGAGTTACTGAATTCTTTTGGGTTGCTTTTATGTAGTGGGACAGGTTTATTCCTAATAGATCTGCAATGGATTTTGACTATGCACATTTTATGGTGACCGAAGGATGTAAAGCTAAAGAGATTCCGGCCAGTTCACCTTCAAGAGAAGCATACCGAAAGCAGCTTGCGGAGATCTTTAACATGAACCGGAGGATCCTTGCTTTTAAGAACAAACCACCCACCCCCCCTTTGGATGGTTTTCTGAATGAGAACTCTTCCGCTTACCAGGCCAAACCTACAAAACCCCTTCGCCACATTCCTCAGGTAGGCAAGTAGTGCTTGATTGTTCTTGATGTTAGCGTGTCAATGGTAGAAAGGATTCTTTTTTTCTCACAGTGAATGATTCATTTTTGCAGACATCTGAGAGGACTTTAGATGCCCCAGATATTTTGGATGATTACTACTTGAATCTACTAGATTGGGGAAGCAGCAATGTTCTCTCTATTGCTCTTGGCAGTACTGTTTATTTACCTGTGGGATGCTTCTGAGGGCAGTACTGTTTACATTGAATGTTTTATTAATATAACTTTTTATAAGACATCTCAGTTTTTCCTTTATTACTTAAAATTGCTCATTTTCCTAATTTTTATAAAAAAAAATTATAAGTCAGAAGAGTTTAGAGAAAAAGACTAAAATATGAGTAAACCATAAAAAATGTAAACAAAAAAGTTCTACGTCTTATTTCCAAAATAGGATTTCAATGAAAATAAAATGTTAATCATTAAAGAAACAATATGTTTGATTATGTGACATGCATGATATTTAAAACAAAATGGTTTAATATATAAATTATAATTACAAATACATTATTTATAATAATGTATTTGTAAAAATAAATTGAGTTGCAATATAACTACACAACCTTTTTAAAATTTAATATTTTTATATTTATGCTAATTTTATATAAAAATTATTTTTTGTAAAAGTAGTTTTTTGTATTTAAAAAATAACAATACTTTTTTATATCTTAAAGACATTTACTAAGATAACGTGATGATGATGATTATGTTGATGATTATGATGAAGATGATGATGATGATGATGCTGATAATGATAATAATAATAATATTAATAATAATAATAATGATAATAATAATAAAAATAATAATAAAATAATAATAATAATAATAATAATAATAATAATTTATAACAACAAGAGTTTAAAATAAATATTTTAAAAGTTTTTTTAGGTTTTCTAGCTTTTTCAAGTTTCTTCTAATTCCTTCCGGTTTTTTCCAGTTTTTTCCAGGTCCTTCCCGTTCCTTCTAGTTTCTTCTAGTTTTTTCCAATTTTTTTTCGATTTTTTCCTATTTTTTTCAATGTCCAGCTCTCTTAATCATTAAAAAAAATAAGTTTGATTACATTATGTGACATGTCTTATATTTAAAACAAAATCTTGTAATATATAATGTATAATTGCATATATATTATTTTATGATAAATACTGCATAACCATAATAACTTTTTAGTATTTACATTTTGATATTTATGGTAATGTTATATTCTAATCAATTTTGTTTCAAAAGTATTTTTTTGTATGAAAAATAAAAATATTTTTTTTTTTATCTTAAAGACATTTATTAAGGGCTTGTTTGAGAATAGCTTTAGCGATTAGCGTTAGTGTTTTGTAAAGGCTATCTAAAGACAGCGTTTAACGTTTTCAAAATAATCTGCACCGTTAAAATTTTATCCAAAACGCTAACACTAATTTCTAATGCTATTCCCTAATAGGCCCTAAGATAACGTGGTGACACTACCACCACCACCACCAACAACAACAACAACAGTAATAATTTATAACAACAAGAATTAAAATAAGAATAAGATAAAAACACACAAAAAAAAAATTCAAAATTTTTTTGAATTTTCTAATTTTTGTAAATTTTTTCCATAATTTAACGGTGGAACTCTTAATTTTCAACTTCTTCCAGTTTCTTTCAGTTTCTTCCAGTTCATTCCAGTTTCTACCAATTTCTGCCAGTTTCAGTTCCTTCCAGTTTTTTCCAAATTCTTCCAGTTTCTTACTTACAGTTCTTCCAGTTTATTCCAACCCTTTTCATTTTCTTCAAATTCTTTTGACTCCTCAACCAATTACTCTAAAAATAATACTCCGTATATTTCAATGTGATTATTATTATTATTAATATTATTATTAATATTATTATTATTATTATCATTATCATTATCATCATCATCATAATCATCATTATGGATAAAATAGTTACATTGAATGTTTTATTAATATAACTTTTTATAAGACATCTCAGTTTTTCCTTTATTACTTAAAATTGCTCATTTTCCTAATTTTTATAAAAAAAATTTTAAGTCAGAAGAGTTTAGAGAAAAAGACTAAAATATGAGTAAAACATAAAAAAATGTAAACAAAAAAGTTCTATGTCTTATTTCCAAAAATAGGATTTCAATGAAAATAAAATGTCAATAATGAAAGAAATAATATGTTTGATTATGTGACATGTATGAAATTTAAAAATAAATGGTTTAATATATAAATTATAATTACAAATACATTATTTATAATAATGTATTTGTAAAAATAAATTGAGTTGCAATATAACTACTTAACCTTTTTAAAATTTAATATTTTTATATTTATGCTAATTTTATATTAAAATTATTTTTGGTAAAAGTAGTTTTTTGTATTTAAAAAATACAATACTTTTTTTTATATCTTAAAGACATTTACTAAGATAACGTGATGATGATGAGTATGTTGATGATTATGATGATGATGATTATGATGATGATGATGATGATGAAGATGATGATGCAGATAATGATAATAATAATAATAATAATAATAATAATACTCCCTCCGTCCTAATTCTTTCTTCCCAGTTTGACTTTTCCCCATTTTTAATTTTTGGCTTTGACTTCAAATTTTATCCTCCTTAAAAAATGTTTTTTTGAATTTTTTTTAAAAATCATTCAAAATATAGAGTTAGAAGATAATTGGTGTAAATACATGAGGGTATTAATGTCATTTGTCATCTTTTTTTTCTAATGGGAGGTAGTTTTAGGACGGAGAAAAATGGAAAGTGGGAAGAAAGTTTTAGGACGGAGGGAGTAATAATAATAATAATAATAATAATAATAATAATAATAATAATAATAATTTATAACACCAAGAGTTTAAAATAAATATTTTAAAAGTTTTTTTAGGTTTTCTAGTTTTTTCAAGTTTCTTCCAGTTCCATCCAATTTTTTCCAGTTTCTTCCAGTTTTTTTCCAGGTCCTTCCCGTTCCTTCTAGTTTCTTTTAGTTTTTTCCAGTTGCTTTCTATTTTTTCCTATTGCTCCTTTTTACCGTTAAAAAAAATGTCCTAAATCTTCATTTATAAAAATTAAGGAGTACTCCTTACTACCTAATTATCCTCTTCGTCTTTGTCGTCCTCGTTCGAGACCTCCTCCAAAATTTCCCCAAAACCTTCCTAGCCCTAGCAAACTTTGGAGAAGGGAGTGAATTGAGGCTGGAAGTCCGAGACAAACACCTTGAAGACCTGGAATTTCTCGCGAGGACTCGGTCTCCACGCCACCAGAGAGAAGCGGTGACTAAGCCGGAGGAGAGGAATGTCGTCAACGCTACTTGAGGTAACCCGCGCGTCACACGAGGAGATAGAGCGGCTCGAGCGGGTCATCGTTAAGGATCTCCAGACCGAGCCGGCCACCAATAAGGACCGCCTCTACCAGAGCCACCGCGTTCGCAACGTTATTGAGAGAATCATTGACACCACGCACAGACTTGTAGTTTTCATATCCGTTTTCTGTTCAAT